ACCGGCTGAGGAACTGGAGGTTGATGGTGGCCGCGGGCACGAGAAGGGTGCGGGTCATGGGCCGGACGCGGCTCCCACCGGGCTCCGGTCGCACCTCAAAGCGCAGCAGGATCTGGGGAGCACAGAGGGGGTGAGGGACATGAGGGGACATGGGGAGCCCTTGGAGGCCTGGGGGTACCTGGGAGGTAGTGGGGACAGGGGACACCCTGAGGACCATGGGGAGCACCTTGGGGGACATCAGGAGCCCTAGAGGACAAGGGGTCTTTGGGACATGGATGGGATGTGATGGGGACACAGATGGGAGGTGGTGGGGATGTGATGGGGATATGGATGGGATGTGGAGGGGACACGGATGGGATGTGGTGGGGACAAGGGATGCCTTGGGGATATGGAGGACCTTGAGAACATACAGAACATCTGGAGAAAATGAGAAGCCCTGGGGGGAGCAAAAGCATCCTTGGGGATGCTGGAGGATCTGGGGCACTATGGGGACACGGGGAACCCTTGGAGACATGGAGGTCCTTGGGGATATGGTTGGGATGTGATGGAGACAAGGGGTACCTTGGGGATGTGGAGGACCTCGGGACCATGAGGGACACGGGAGACTCTTGGGGACATGGGGAGCTCCTGGAGACACTGGGGTCCTCTGGGGACATGGCTGGGATGTGGAGGGGACAAGGGGCGCCCTGGGGATGGGGAGGCCCTCGGGACCACGAGGAGCAGCCTGCGGGGAGCACAGGAGTCCTCGGGGACACGGGAGGACACCGGGGGACGCCGGGACGCGGGGCCATGGGGACGCGGGGGGGATTCGGGTCCGGCCCCGACCTGCGCCAGCGCTTGGTGGATCTCGAGCTCCGCGAGGCGGCGGCCGACGCAGCTGCGTTTGCCGATGCCGAAGGGGAGGGAGGCGAAGGGGTGGCCCGGGGCGCGGCGCAGCCACCGCTCCGGCTGGAAGCGCTCGGGAGCCGCGAACACGCGGGCGTCCCGGGACGCGGCGTAATGGCAGAGGGTGATGAGGGTCTGCGGGGACACGGGCCCGTGAGGGGCGGCGGGGCCGGGGGCACCGGCGCGGGGTGAGGGGCACGGGGACGCTCGCACCTTGCGTGGCACCAGGTATTCACCCACACGGATGTCGCGGTCGGGAATGACGCGGGCATTGGCGGGAATGACGGGATAGAGCCTGGGGGGCGGAGAGGGCACCGGGGTCACCGCGGCCACCCCTGTCCCCGTCTGCATCCCCACCTTGTCCTCATCTTCACCCTGTGCTCATTCGCCGTCTCCATCCCTGTCACATTCCCATCTTCATCCCCACCACCAACCCAGTCACCACCCTCATCCTCATCCCTATCTTCATCTTCATTCACATCCTTGTCCTTGTTCTCATCTTCATTCTTGTCCTGCGTTCATCCCTGTCTCCATCCCTACCACCGTTCCTGCCCCACCCTCATCCCTATCTTCATTCCCATCCCTCCCCTCACCCCCTTTTCCATCCCCATCCTCATCCCTGCTCTTGTCCCTATCTTCATCGCTATCTCTATCCTTGTCCCCTCTGTTCATTTGTCTTAATCCCCACCACCATTCCCATCCCAACCCCTATCCTCATCCCTATCCCTATCTTCATTTTCATCCCTATCCTTGTCTCTGTCCTCATCTTCATCCTTATCCTGTGTTCATCCCTGTCTCCATTCACACCCCTCTCCTCATCCCCACCCTCCTTCTTGCCCCCATCTCTGCCCTGTCCTTATCCTTCTTCCTGTCCTCATCTTCACCCTTGTCCCCTCTGTTCATCCCTGTCTCCATCCTCATCCTCACCCATTTTCATCTGTATCCCCCTCCTTATCCTTGTCCCCTGTGTTCATCCCTATCCCATGCCCTGTTCACTCCCATCCCTTTCCTCATCCTCATCCCTCTCCCATCCCCACCTGAGGGTCTCCTTGACCACAGCCCTCAGCAGGGGCACGCTGCCCACAGCGGTGCCGGTGGCGGCGGCGGCGGCGAGCTCCCGGTGCAGCGCCGCCTGCACGCCTGGGTGCTGCGCCAGCTCGTACAGGCTCCAGGACAGGGTGCTCGAGATCTGCGACATGAGGGGGCTTCAGCGGGACCCCACGGGGCAGGGGGCACAACCCCACGTCCTCCCCTCACCGTGTCCACCCCGGCCAGCAGCAGCTCCGTGACGTTGCCGTAGATGCTCTTCAAGGGCACCTGCTCCCGCGCGAGGTGGTCGGTCAGGCACGTCCCCTGCTCCGCGTCCCGGTGCCCGCCCGCCTCGGCCACGCGCCGGTCGATGTGGCGCTTGGCTGGGGAGGACCAGCACCCATCAGCATCCCCATGGCCGTGGGGCATTGCCTGGCCCCACGTCCCCCCCCACGGCCGCTCACCGAAGGCGAACATGTAGTCCCAGGCCTCGCAGAAGGTGTCCCACGGCTTAGGGAAGAGGCGGAGCAGGGGCTTGGGCATGGCCATGGTGAGCAGCGTCATGACGAACATGGTGTTGATGGAGCGGATGAAGGTCTCGGTGTCCCGCGGCACCTCCGGTTCCAGGCAGCCCAGGCGGGAGGCGAACAGCACAGAGGAGATGCCTGGGGGGGTGAAGGGGGTGACTCGGGGAGCTGCAGGACACTGGGGGACATGAGGAACATCCTGGGGAAGACAGAGGGGGCCTTGGGGACATGGATGGGATGTGGCGGGGATAAGGGGTGCCTTGGGGCATGGAGGGCATCAGGAACATTGGGAGCACTCTGGGGAACAGGGGGAGCCCGGGTGGGGGGGGGGGAATGGGACAGGAGAGTCTCTGGGGACATTGGGAGATCTAGGTGTAACGGAGACACATGGAACACCATGGGGGACATCAGGAGTTGTTGAGGACATAGATGGCATGTGCTGGGGACAAGGGGTGCCTTGGAGGACACCAGGAACATTGGGAACACCCTGGGGAAGAGGGGAAGCCCCGGGCGGGGACAGGAGAGTCCTTGGGGACATTAGGAGGCATGGAGTGCCATGGAGACATGGGGAGTCTGTGGAGGACATGGAGAGGATATGGTGGGTACAGGGGGCACCTCGGGAACATGGGGGACATCAGGAACCCTGGAAGATACAAGGAGTCCTTGGGGACCCTGGGGGACATGGGGGTGTTTGGGGATGCGGTTTGGATGTGGTGGGGACAAGGGGGAGCTCGAGACCATGAGGAAGACCTGGGGGGGGGGGGGCACAGGAGAGTTCTTGGAGAGCCCCTGAGGGGTCCCACCCGGGTCCCCCCCTCACCTTCCAGGCCGAACCTGTAGAAGTGGGTGCCGAGGTCGTGCACGAGGTGCTGCGGGTTCCCATCGCGCTGCAGCTGCAGCCGCTGCACCAGGTCCCTGACCACCGCGGCCACCGGCCCCGAGAAGGACTCGGCCACGCGCGGGCGCAGCAGCAACCGCCCCAGGAGCCGGCGCAGCCGCTGCCACTCCTCACCCTCCCTGCGACAGCGACATGGGGGGATATGGGACAGGGGATATGGGACAGGGATACAGGATGGGGGATATAGGAGAGGGTTAAGGGAGGGGGATATGGGACAGGGGTATGGGATGGGGGATATGGGACAGGGGCATGTATTGGGGGATATGGGATGCAGGATATGGGACATGGAGGGACACCACGGGGCTGGGGGTGATCACAGGGTTGGGGGGCTGAGCACTGTGTGCGTGGGTCTCAGGCTCCCTCCCCACACCTCTGCCCCACGGTTACTCACATCCGGGGGGACTGATTCATGCCTGAGTCACCCCCAGCCCGTCCCGCCCGGCTGTGCCCCACGGGTGGGGGGGGAAGGGAGCTCCACAGGGCTCAGGGATACCCCCGGCTCTATGTGCAGCCCCACAACTCTGTGCTCAGACCCATGGACCCCCATGGTCACCCCCAGACCCCCATGGGCACCCCCAGCCCTACTCACGCAGTGAGCAGCCCATACGCGTGCCCACGGCATTCCCGGTAATCCTTCCATGAGGAGAGGTGGGAGCGGACTGGGAAGGGCCCCTCCTGGCGCAGAACCTGCTCGATGAGCCCGGCCTCGGCCACATGCACGGTCAGGATGGGCCCAAAGGCGGCTTTCCAGAGCGGCCCATAGCGTGCCCGGCCCTGCACCTGTGGGAATGCCGCTTGGAGCAACTGGGATGGGATCGGGATCCCCCTTCTCCACTCGTAGCCCCACGCCAGTGGCACTGGGGTCCCCTCCAGCTCCTCCAAGCCCCGGACCGCAGGCTTAGGGCGCCCTTGTCCCCTCGGAGCCCCCGCAGCCCAGCCCGGGTCCCGTTACCTGCAGCTCGTGCAGCCTCCGCAGCCCCCCGCGGCACAGCAGCTCGTACGTGAAGGCGGCGGGGCTGGGCCCCGGCATCTCGGCCAGGCCCCGGGGGACAGCGGCGGGACCGGGGGCTCTGCGCAGCTCGGGCAGGGAGCGGAGGAGCCGCGCGGCGCGGGCGGGCAGGGGCGACCCCGGGGCCATGGCGGGGACGGGCCTCGACTGAGCCGCGGGCATCGGCCGGGGCCTTTATAGGCGCCCACGTGGAGCGGGCGAGGCCACGCCCCCTTTTGGCGCCAAACACCGCCCCCTTCGCGGCAAACCACACCCCCTTCCCCGTGCGGCCGCGCCCTCCGCGTCCAAGCACCGCCCCTTTGCTCTCAAACCCCGCCCATTCACTGGGTTATTTGCATACTGCACCTCCACGGGCCAATCAGAGCGAGGCAGGGGGCGGTGCGATCCGGTGGGCGGGGCTATGCGTGGGCTCCACCGCGGGGCACGCTCGCACCCGGGTCCCCCTCCCGCTCCCAGCGCCCCCGGGGCGGAGCCTCGCAACCTCCCCCCCCCCCCCCCCCCCCGGTTCCCGGGAAGCGCCGGTTGCGACACCGGTTGGGCCGGTGGAAACCCCCCCCACCCCCCCGGGGGTTTCCGTGTCCCGGCTCCCCCCCCCCGGTAATCCCCACCCGCGGGGTGCGGAAATAGCGGGGGGAGGGGAGAGACCGAACCGTGGGAGACAACAGCGGGTTTATTACGAACGGGGGGGTCCCGGGGTGGGTCAGGCCCCGGGAGGGTCCGGGAGGCGGCGGAACACGGCGGGGAGCGGGGCCCGCCCCCCCCGCTGCGCCCGGCACCCCTCCTCGGTCACCGTGCCCAGGAGCGACAGCAGCGGGTCCGAGTCCTGGGGGGGAAGAGGGCAACGATGGGGACCGGGGTCCTGTGACCCTCCCGGTAACCCCCAGTGCACCCCGCAGAGCTCCCAGTAGCCCCCTCCTGCTTCCCTGTAGCTCCCAATGCCCCTCCATGGGCTCCCAGTTTTCTCCCAGTACCCCTCCCATGAACTCCCAGTAGCCCCCAATGCCCCCCCATGCATTCCCAGTGCTCCCAGTGTCCCTCCATGTGCTCCCAGTGCCCCCCCATGTGCTCCCAGTGTCCCCCCAGGCGTTCCCAGTGCTCCCCCATGTGCTCCCAGTGCCCCCCCCATGTGCTCCCAGTGTCCCCCCAGGCGTTCCCAGTGCTCCCCCATGTGCTCCCAGTGTCCCCCTAGGGGTTCCCAGTGCCCCTCCATGTGCTCCCAGTGTCCCCCCCAGGCATCCCCAGTGCTCCCAGTGCCCCTCCATGTGCTCCCAGTGTCCCCCCCAGGCGTTCCAAGTGCTCCCAGTGTCCCTCCATGTGCTCCCAGTGCCCCCCCCATGTGCTCCCAGTGTCCCCCCAGGCGTTCCCAGTGCTCCCCCATGTGCTCCCAGTGTCCCCCTAGGGGTTCCCAGTGCCCCCCCCATGTGCTCCCAGTGTCCCCCCAGGCGTTCCCAGTGCTCCCAGTGCCCCTCACCAGCTGGCCCAGCGGCACCTCCTCGAACAGCGGGTGCTCCCTGAAGTGCGTCACCATCCACTGGTGCAGCTCAGGCACGTCCGTCACCGTGTACACCAACCCCTGGGACACGGAGTCACCGTGTGCTCCATGGGGACATCCCAGGTTGTCCACTGTGACCCCAGGACAGGGACATTCGGGGCAGGAAAAGGGGTTGGGAACACTGGGGGGACCCAGGGGGGATGTGGGTGTCCCTTTGTGGTCCCACGGTGTCCTGGTGTGCTCCCAGTGAGCTCCAGAGGGGTCCAGGGACCTCCAGGGGGTTCTGGTGTTCAATGGGGTGGCCAGGGTGGGTCCCGGTGCTGGGGGGGGGGGGTGTGTGTCCTGGGGGGCGTTCCCAGTGCTTGGGGAAGGTCCTGGTGCCCCAGGAGGTTGTGGGGGGTCCCGGTACCTCAGTGCTTAATGGGGGTGTCCCAGTGCTGGGAGGGGGTCCTGGTACTGGGAGGGTCCCAGTGTTTGGGGGGGGGTGTCTCAGAGCACAGGGGGGTCCTGGTGTCTGTCCCAGTGCTGAGGGGGGTTCCCAGTGCTCAGGAAGGGGGGGTCCCACTGCCGGGGGGGTCCCTGTGCTCACCCCTGGGCGCAGGACGTAGCCGTACTCAGCCAGCAGCGCAGGGCTGATGATTCTCCACTTGTGCTTCGTGCGCTTGAAGTGGGGGTCAGGGAACAGGAAGAACATGCGGCGGAGCTGGGGGGGCACGGGGGGGTCAGCGCCCCACGGGGGAGCCGAGACAGCCCCTGTCATCCCCCCCCCCCCGGGGCATTGACAATGGGGGGAACAGGGTACTGGGGACACCCAGGACAATGGGTACCCCCCAGTGCCCCCCCCATGAGTTCCCAGTACCTTCAAGTGACATCCCATGAAGTCCCAGTACCCCCCAGTGCCCCCCCATGGGCTCCCAGTATCCCCCCAGTGCCCCCCTATGGGCTCCCAGTACCCTCCCATGAGCTCCCAGTACGTCCCCATGAGCTCCCAGTGCCCCCCAGTATGGCCCACATGGGCTCCCTGTATCCCCTGGTGCTCCCCCACATGGACTCCCAGTGCCCCCCAGTATGGCCCCCATTGGCTGCCAGTACCCCCATGCCCTGAGGAGGGATCCCAGTACCCGCCATGTGCCTCCCTCCCTACCCAGTGCAACCCCCATGGAATCCCAGTACCCCCCAGTGCTCCCAGTGCCACCCATGGGCAGGGTGCTGGGGGACAGCAGGGGGGGCGGGGCTCAGGGGGGCACCCAGGGTTCTTTGGGGGGTTCAGGGAGGGTCCAAAGGGTGCCCTGGGGGTTTGGGGGGATGGTATCCTGGAGGTATTGGGGATGGAATTTGGGGTGTCTGGGGTGAGGGCTTGGGTGGGTTTTGGGGTTTCTGGGAGTGCCTGGGGGGTTTGGAAGTGTTTGGGGGGGGGGGGAGTGTCTGAGAGGGCTCTGGAGGTGTTGAGAGGGTTTGGGGGTTGCTTCGGGGCGTTTAGGGGGTGTCTGGAGGGATTGGGGGGGGCTTGAGGATGTCTGGGGTGGTTCAGTGATGTTTGGGGGGAGTATGGGGCAGTTTGGGGTGGTTTGGGGGGAGTTTGGGAGGGTTTTGGGGTGGTTTAGGGGGGTTGTGAGGGTTCGGGGGGGGTCTGGGAGGGTTTTGTGTGGTTTTGGGGTGTTTGGAGGAGTTTGTGAGAGTTTTGGAGGTTCTGGGAGGGTTTGGAGATGGTTTGGGGGGAGTTTGGGCGGATTTTGGGGTGGTTTAGGGGGGTTGTGAGGGTTCTGGGGTGGTTTGTGAGGGTTTTGGAGGTTCTGGGCGGATTTTGGGGTGGTTTTGGGGGAGTTTGGGAGGGTTTTGGGGTGGTTTAGGGGGGTTGTGAGGGTTCGGGGGGGGTCTGGGAGGGTTTTGTGTGGTTTTGGGGTGTTTGGAGGAGTTTGTGAGAGTTTTGGAGGTTCTGGGAGGGTTTGGAGATGGTTTGGGGGGAGTTTGGGCGGATTTTGGGGTGGTTTAGGGGGGTTGCGAGGGTTCTGGGGTGGTTTGTGAGGGTTTTGGAGGTTCTGGGAAGGTTTTGGAGTGGTTTGGGGGGAGTTTGGGAGGGTTTTGGGGTGGTTTAGGGGGGTTGCGAGGGTTCTGGGGTGGTTTGTGAGGGTTTTGGAGGTTCTGGGCGGATTTTGGGGTGGTTTTGGGGTGTTTCGTGGTCCCTGGGGTCCCACCTGCGCCCTGCGGAAGAAGTGGGGCAGGTGCTTCATGGCGTTGCCCCTCACGCACGCCACGTTCCGGCAGCGCGGGGGAGCCCCCGCCCGCAGCGCCCGGATCCGCTGCGCCGTGAACGCGGCCACGCGGGGACGAAGCTCCAGCCCCAGCGCCAGCTCCTGCGGGAACAGCCCCGAGAGCGCCACTGCGGGCACCGGAGCGCGGCCGTCAGAGCCCGGAGAGCACCGGAGCCCATTGGGAGCGATGGAGCCCCCATAGGGAGCACCAGAGCCCCACAGACAGCAATGGAGCCCCCATAGACGGCAATGGAGCCCCCACAGAAAAAAACGGAGCCCCCCATAGAGAGCACCAGAGCCCCATAGACGGCAATGGAGCCCCCATAGAGAGCACCAGAGCCCCATAGCCTGCAATGGAGCCCCCATAGACAAAAACGGAGCCCCCGTAGAGAGCAACGGAGCCCACGCAGAGGGCAACGGAGCCCCCCGAGACAGCACAGGAGCCACATAGACAAGAATGGAGCCCCCATAGACAGCACCAGAGCCCCCTAAACACAGCCACGGAGCCTCTAAACACAGCCATGAAACCCCTAAACACAGCCATGGAGCCCCTAAACACAGCCATGAAACCCCTAAACACAGCCATGGAGCCCCCTAAACACAGCCATGGAGCCCTAAACACAGCCATGGAACCCCTAAACACAGCCATGGAGCCCCTAAACACAGCCATGAAACCCCTAAACGCAGCCATGAAACCCCTAAACGCAGCCATGGAGCCCTAAACACAGCCATGGAGCCCTAAACACAGCCATGGAGCCCCTAAACACAGCCATGGAACCCCTAAACACAGCCATGAAACCCCTAAACGCAGCCATGGAGCCCTAAACACAGCCATGGAGCCCCTAAACACAGCCATGAAGCCCCTAAACACAGCCATGGAGCCCTAAACACAGCCATGGAGCCCCTAAACACAGCCATGAAGCCCCTAAACACAGCCGTGGAACCCCTAAACACAGCCATGGAGCCCCCTAAACACCTCCATGGAGCCCTAAACACAGCCATGGAGCCCCCTAAACACAGCCACGGAGCCCTAAACACAGCCATGGAGCCCCTAAGCACAGCCATGAAACCCCCTTAACACCGCCATGGAGCCCTAAACACATCCATGGAGCCCCCTAAACACAGCCATGAAACCCCTAAACACAGCCACGAAACCCCCTTAACACAGCCATGGAGCCCTAAACACAGCCATGGAGCCCTAAACACAGCCGTGGAACCCCTAAACACAGCCATGGAGCCCCTAAACACAGCCATGAAGCCCCCTAAACACAGCCGTGGAGCCCCTAAACACAGCCATGAAACCCCCTAAACACCGCCATGGAGCCCTAAACACAGCCGTGGAACCCCTAAACACAGCCATGGAGCCCTAAACACAGCCATGAAACCCCTAAACACAGCCATGGAGCCCCCTAAACACAGCCATGGAGCCCTAAACACAGCCATGGAGCCCCCTAAACACAGCCATGAAACCCCCTAAACACAGCCATGAAACCCCTAAACACAGCCATGGAGCCCCCTAAACACAGCCATGGAGCCCAAAACACAGCCATGGAGCCCCCAAACATCAACACAGACCCCAAATCCCCTGGCATCGACCCTCAAACCCAACTCCAGCCCCTGACCCCCAAACCCCAACCACGGCCCCCCCAACCCTGGCACCTGACCCCAACTCTGGACCCCGACCCCCCCACCCCCCAGGGTCCCAGACCCCCCCCCCCCATAGCCCCCGGTGGCCCCCTCACCCAGCAGCCCCCCGTAGCCGCAGCCCACATCGAGGGTCTCCACGCGGGGCGGGGGCTGCCCCGGGGGGGCGTCGGGCGGGAAGAAGTCCGGGAACAGCGCGGCCCAGTCCATGTCCTGCGGGCGGGCGGGGCTGCGGGGACACCGCGGTTACCGGGGGCGAGCGCACCGGGGCGGGGGGGGGAACCGGCAGGGTCCGGTCCGGGGTTATCGGGGGAGGCGCACAATGGGGGGGGGGGATGATGATCGTAAATTGGACCCCGGTGGGGTCCGGTCCGGGGTCACCGGTGGGGTACGGGGAGGGACCTGGGGAGTCACTGGGGTGCTACCGGGAGGGTCCCGAGGGGCTCCCGGGGATAACCAAGGTGTTACCGGTGGGGTCCCGGGTGTTAGCGGGGTTACTATAGGGTCACCGGGGGGTGTTATCGGTGTTACTGGGGGGTCTCAGAGGTTCCCGGTGGGGCTCCGGTGGGGTTCCCGGGGCTGTTCCCGGGGGCTATTCCCGGTGGGACTCCCGGTGGGGTTCCCGGGGCTGCTCCCGGGGCTGTCCCCGGTGGGGTTCCCGGGGCTGTTCCCCGCGGGGCTCCCGGCGGCTCCTCCCGCACTCACTATCGCAGGGTGTGATCCGCCAGCGGGTTCGAGTGCGCGCGCTGCCGGTAGAACCGCTTCTGCGGCGGCGCCACCGGCTCCGCCATGGCCGCACCGGAGCGCAGCGGCACCCGCGGGCGCACGGAACCGACGTCACCGCGCGGTGCCGATCAGTGACGTAAACAACGCGCCCGCTGGCCCGGGGTGGGCGTGGTTGTGGTGGTGGGTGGGGCTCCAAAAAGCCACGCCCCCAGTGCCCCCTATTGACCTCCATTGACCCCAAGGGCCTTCAGTGCCCCCCAAGTGACCCTCCCCAGGGCTCCCAGTGCCCCCCAGTACCCCTCTGAGCCCCCATGCCCCCCCAGTGCCTCTCATTGACCCCCTCCAGTGCCTCCCAGTGACAACCCAGTGCCCCCTGGTCACCCCCAGTGCCCCCATTGCCCTCCAGTGCTTCTTACTGACTCCCCCCACTGCCCCCCCGAGCCCCCAATGCCCCCCCAGTGTCTTTTAGTGACCCCCTTCAGTGCCCTCCCAGTCACTTCCTGTGTCCCCCAGTGCCCCCCCCAGCCCCCATTGCCCTCCAGTGCCTCTGACTGACACCCCCCCCTCCACTGCCTCCCATCCCCCCCCCCCTAACCCTACCCCCCCCCCCCCCCCGAAATTCTTTGGGGATTTCAGGCTCTGACGAAGCCGGTTTCTCAGAAAGCCCCGGGGGGGGAGGAGAGGGGAAGATCCCGGGGGGGGGGGGGGGGGGGGGTTGAGCAACTCGGGGCTGGACCCGCCTGACCGGAGCCTTCCAGGAACCTTGCGGGGGGGAGGGAGGGAGACTCGGGAATCAACCCCCCCCCGACCCCCCTCGGGTGCCCTGACCCCCCCCTAGGGTGCTACAAGCATTAACTGGGTGATGAAGGCCCCGGGGGGTCCCGGTTGCTCATTACCCCCACGAGGGGGTCACCCCCCACCCCAAACCCCCCCTCCCCGGTTACTGTTTATCCGGGTCATGTGGGCTCCGGGCACAAGGAATGGGGCTGGGATGGGGGGGTCCCGTGTGTGTCCTCAGGGGTGGGGGCAGGACACATGGGATGGGGACACCGGGGCAGGGACACAGTGACCAGGGACATGGGGATCAGGGACACTGTGACCACTGACACTGGGGACAGGGGCACCGGGAGCAGGGATACCAGGGCTATAGACACCAGTGTCAGGGACACTGGGTGAGGGAAGTGGGGCCAGGGACGCTGGCCCCACACTGACCAAAGACAGCAAGACCAGAGGTGCTGGGATCAGGGACACTGGGGCTGGGGACATCAGGGTCAGGGACACCAGGACAGAGACACCAAGGACGGAGGTGTCGGGACCAGGGACACCAGGACAAGGACACCATGACCAGGGACACCAGGGTCAGGGACACTGGGATCAAGGACACTGGGATCAGGGACACTGGCGCTGGAGACATCAGGGTCAGGGACACCAGGACAAGTCCACCATGAGCAGGGACACCAGGTGAGCAGCACTGGGTAAGGGACACTGACCGGGGACACAGGGGCTGGGGACACCAGGCCTGGCTCCAGGCCCCTCCCAGGGACAGTGTCCCAGTGGTGACACTGGCGTTGATGGGACAGGGACAGGAGCAAGAGGACAGGGGGCGGCACCAGAGTGAGACCATAGGACAGGGAGTGGTGGCCTCCGACAGGGACAGGGATGAGACTGGGCTGGCTGGGAGGAAGTGACACTGAGGATGGGAGTGGGAAGGGATGGAAACGGGGACAGGGAAGGGATGGGGAGAGGGAAGGGATGGGGAGAGGGAAGGGATAGGATGGAGACAGGGATGGGATGGGGACAGGGAAGGGATGGGATGGGGACAGGGATGGGATGGGGACAGGGAAGGGATGGGATGGGGACAGGGAAGGGATGGGGAGAGGGAAGGGATGGGGACAGGGATGGGATGGGATGGAGACAGGGATGGGGACAGGGAAGGGATGGGATGGGGACAGGGAAGGGATGGGGAGAGGGAAGGGGAGAGGGAAGGGATAGGGACAGGGATGGGATGGGGACAGGGAAGGGATGGGGACAGGGAAGGGATGGGGACAGGGAATGGGAGAGGGAAGGGATAGGGACAGGGATGGGATGGGGACAGGGAAGGGATGGGGACAGGGAAGGGATGGGGAGAGGGAAGGGGAGAGGGAAGGGATAGGGACAGGGATGGGATGGGGACAGGGAAGGGATGGGGACAGGGAAGGGATGGGGGCAGGGATGGGATGGGGACAGGGAAGGGATGGGGACAGGGATGGGATGGGGACAGGGAAGGGATGGGGACGGGGAAGGGATAGGGACGGGGATGGGATGGTACGGGGACAGGGATGGGATGGGGACAGGGAAGGGATGGGGACAGGGATGGGATGGGGACAGGGAAGGGATGGGGACGGGGAAGGGATAGGGACGGGGATGGGATGGGGACAGGGAAGGGGTTGGGACTGATGGGTGGGACAAGGAGTGCCCTGGGGCCATCGGGAATTGGGACACTGGGATAGGGCTTGGACCCATGTGGGGACATTGGAGATGGAAGAGGGAACACAGGGAACGGGGACACCGGGTGGACGCGGGGACACCACCGAGGGGTAGGCGGAGCCTCAGACCCCGCCCCTCGGGGGGGGGGGGGCGTTTCCAGCTCTGACCAATCACGGAAGGGGCTGCTACTTACGGCCCCGCCCTCCCCGCCAAAATGGCTGCGCCCGCGCGCCACGTGGGTGCCGGGACCCGGTGGGAGACGGCGGCGGGAGGGGAAGGAGGAACTGAAACGGAAGGGGAATGGGAAGGGGAAGAGGAAGCGGAAGCGGAAGGGGAAGAGGAAGCGGCCGGCGCGCTGCGGGCCGTGTTCCCCCGCGACCCCGCGCTCTTCGCTGACACGTTCCCGGTGCTGCGGCGGTTCCGGCTCTGCGGGCGCGTCCTGCGCATCGCGCAGCACCACGGGCCGCGCCTCGGGCTGGCGGCCAACGTCTGGGAGGCGGTGGGTGGGGGGCACCCGGGAATGGGGAGCACGGGAGGGACTGGGAGAGGGCACTGGGGGAGGAGGCGCTGGAGATGGGGGCTTCCCTGGGAGGGGACTCTCGGGGCGGTCCCTAATGGAGACTGGGGGGAGGGCACTGGGATGGGGGAGGGATCCCTGAGGATGCCCAGGGAATGAGGGATCCACCCCCCGGGGGGGCTGTGGGTGATGCCGGGGGGGGGCGGGGAGGGTTTGGACTGCCCTCCTCCCACCCCGCTCATCCCCTCAACTCCCCCATTCCCGTTCCCCCCCTCCAATCCCCTTCCGTCCCCTCCCAGGCGCTGGCCCTGGCCCGGTTCCTGGAGCAGCAGCGCTTCGAGTTCCGGGGCCGGTCCGTGATCGAGCTGGGCGCCGGCACCGGCATCCTCGGCATCCTGGCGGCGATGCTGGGTGCGCACCGGGAACGGGGGCACCCATGGGGCTGGGAGGGAGGGGTCATGTACACCCCGCCCCCCCCCTTCCCTGCCCATTGGAACTGGTAGCAAGTCACTGCTTATTGGGATCTTGCGGGGGGGGGGGAATGCAGGGGAGCTCTGGGGGACGCAGGGGTTTGGGGTGCACAGAGGAGGTTGTGGGGTGCCCCTCTTTAAACCGCCCCCTCGTTCAGGAGGTGACGTCACCATCACGGACCGCCCGGTGGCGCTGGACCAGATCCGGGAGAACGTCCGGTTGAACTTCCCGGGGACCGGGACTCGGCCACGGGTGCGGGCGCTGGAGTGGGGCCGAGACGAGGACTCCTTCCCTCGGGACTTCCAGGTCGTTCTGGGCTCGGACCTCGTCTACGACCCGGCCTCCTTCCCAGCACTGCTGCGGGCACTGCGGCACCTCTGCGGGCCCCGTTCCCGGGCCCTGCTGAGCGCCCGCGCCCGTGGTGGGGACAGCGGCTCCCGGTGCTTCTTCCACCAGGTCCTGCCGCCGTTCTTCCGGGTCCAGCTGCTGTGGCAGGAGCAGGAGCACGACATCGAAATCTATGGAGTGACCTGCCGGGGGGAGGCCGCGGCACCCCCTGTCTGGGGCTCGTGCGGGGAGGGGGGGGACGCTGCAATGGGGGTATCCTGACAATGCTTAAATGGTCAACATTTAATGGCTGGGCGGCTGCAGTGCATTTCGGGGTGCAGGTCGGGGGGGGGTGTATAAAAGGGTTGCGGGATGTCTGGTCAAGGCTGGGGGGGGGCTGCATAGGGGATGTTTAGGGGTTGTGGGGGTCTGCCCAAAGCGGAGGGGACTCTAGAAGGGTTGGTGGGGAGCCTGGTCAAAGCTGGTGTGTGGGGGGGGTGTCTCTATGAAGGTCTATTGGGGGCTGCAGGGCCCTGGGGCGGCTGACCAGGTTCTGGGGGAACCTGGTTGGGATCTGGGGGGGTATGGCCAAGGTGGGGGTGTCTAAAAGGGTCCGGGGGCTCTGTGAGGGGCTGGGGAGCCTCTAGAAGCCGGGGGTCAGGGCTGGGGGGGGCGTCTCTGTGCGGCTGCAGTACCTGAGGCTGTTGGGTCGGGTTCGGGGGGTCCGGACGCGCGGGGCTGGCGGGCTTTAGGACCCGGGGTAGCCGCTCCCTCCCTACCCCAGCTCCGTCGCGCTGCGAGTGACGTCACGTCCGAGTCCTGTCCCGCCCTCGGGGGTCGCTCCGCCGCCCGTAGAAGCGGTGTGGTGACGTCATCTCGGCGCGCCGCGGGCAGGGTCCGGGATGCAGCGGGCGGCGCGAAGCGCGGTGTGGGTGAGCGGGGGAGTCGGGACCCCGGTGGGGAGACCCCCCCCCACCCCCCCCGGTCCCGTTCACTCCACCCCCACCCCCGCCCCCGCATTCCCCCCGCGCTGTCCCCTGCAGGCGCTCCCGGCCCGGTTCTTCCGCGCCGCCGCCCCGGTGCTGGCGGCGGACAAGGAGTCGCTGCTGCAGCTGCGGCGCCGCACGGGGCTCCCGATCCTGCAGTGCCGGGACGCGCTGCAGCGCTGCGGGGGGGACCTGACACAGGTGAGGCCTGTGGGGAGGGGGGGACACACACCGGGGATGGGGGGGTCGGGAGGGGGCTGTGAAGGCTGGGGGGGGTGAGGGGGGCTGATCTATGGGGTGACCCTCACCCGGGGCTGTGACACCCCTCATGTGACACCTCCGTGCTGAACCCACACCCTGCTGATTGACCCCCACCGCATCCCAGCGCTCCCCCCATGTGACAAAGCCCCCCATGTGACGACCCCCCCCTCATGTGACCCCCTCCCGCAGGCCGAGGCCTGGCTGCTGGAGCAGGCGCGACGCCAGGGCTGGAGCAGCGCCCCCGTGGCACGGGAGCGGCGGCGCGGGAGGGGCTGGTGGGGCTCCTGCGGGAGGGGCCGGCGGCCGTGATGGTGGAGGTGGGTACCGGGTTGGGGGGGGGGGGGGTACGGGGTGGGGGGTGTCCGGTCCCTCCCGGTCTCACCCCTCTCCCCGCCCCAGCTCAGCTGCGAAACCGACTTCGTGGCGCGGACCACCGAGTTCCAGCGCGTGGTGGCGCAGGCGGCGCTGGGCGCTATGGGAGCTGTGTCGGAGGGCGCCCCCTGCCGCCCGGGCGTGCTCACAGGTGCGTGTGTGTAGGGGGGGAGCCCCGACCCCCCCAAAGCAACGCCAACCTTTATCCTTGCACCCACAGCCCCCTTGGGGGCGCTCCCAAGGGTGGGGGGCACCCACACATTGCTCAGCCCCTTTAAGCAACACCCAGCACCCACACAGCCTCTGTGGTCCCCCTAAACCACAACTCCCGGGGGGGGGGGGGGCACCCCACACTCCCCCTGTCCCCCCAGACCACCACAGCCCCCCCCCCCCAGGGGTGCTCGCAGATGGGGGGGGAGCACCCCCTGACCCCCTTAACACCCCCCAACCACCCCCAGCACTTCCTGCAGCCTGAGGAACTTGCTGAGCTCCAGACCGGGCCTGGGGGTGGGCCCCTGAGTGAGGAGCTGGCGCTGGCCCAGGGTGAGTGGGGGACACCAGGGTGGGGGTGACCCTGGGGAGGGACAATGGGGGACAGGGGGGTACCACCCAGGGAGGATGATGGCAGGGAGATGGGGGCACAGGACCCAGGGTGGTGACCAGGGACATCGTGAAGGTACAGGATGGAGGGGCACTTGTGGGGGCGGGCTGATGTGGGACACAGGGGGCCCTGGGTGGTGATGGGGCACAGGGACACCCACCTAGGCAGTGGCTGTGGCCTTGGGGAAGGGACAGGACCTGGGGTCACCTCGGGACAGGGTGATGGGGGGGCACCTTGGGTGGTGATAGAAAGGACATGGGGGGACAGCAGGGGGCAGGGAATGGAGGGGAGCTGGGGGGGGATGTGGGGTGACCCTGGAGGAGTCGGGTGGGGGGGGACACCCAGGGTGGTGATGCGGGGACACCCTGGGCAAGTGACAGGAGGGACCTGGGGTGATCTTGGGAGGGGGTGACCCCGTGTGACCCCCCCGATCTCCCCGCAGGCCGCCTGGGCGAGGCCGTATCCCTGCGCCGCGCCGCGTGGCTGCGGGTGCGGCCCGGGGCCGGGTTCGTGTCCGGGTACGCGCACGGGGGCCCCGCTGCGGATCCCGGCTCGGGGCCGGTGGCGCTGGGGACGCTGGGCGCGCTGGTGGCGTGCGGCGCGCGGGGCGTGGCGCGGGGCGGCGCGCGCGTCGCCGCGCTGGAGGCGCTGGGCCGGCAGGTGGCGCAGCACGTGGTGGGTTTCGCGCCACGGCGCGTGGGGCGCGCGCGGGAACGGCGGCGGGGCGGGGAGGAGGAGGAGGAGGCGCTGCTGGCGCAGGAGTTCCTGCACGCGCCGGGGCGCCGCGTGGGGCGCGTGCTCCGCGCGCTGGGCCCGCTCTGCGTCACCGGCTTCGTGCGGTTCCGCTGCGGGGAGGAGCCCACCGCGGACGTGACCTCACGGTGACACCACCCCTCCCCCCCCCCCCGGTATCGGCTGGGGTCACCCGGGGTCGTTGACCCCTCCCGGTACCGGGGGCACCGGGAGCCTCCCGCACCCCCAGCGGAATAAACGGGAAGAGGAGCGAGCCCGGGTGTTTTATTGGTTGGGGGAAGCGTCCTCGTGACCCCTCCCCCCCCCAGGGACCCCCTGCACCGCAGCCGGGGATCGGTACCCCCGGCCTGAACCCCCCCCACCGGGATTTACCCCGCTCCCACCCCGGCCCTGACTCCAACTCCCCCATTCGGGACTGGCCCTGACCTTTCCTCCCCCCGCTCCCGTTACCCCCGGCGCCGCCAGCACTGCTTTATTGAGGTTGAACCGGTAAAACGGGGGGGGGGGAGGGGACACAGGACACACGGTGGCCACGGGACGATGCTCACCCCCCCCTCCTCCGGTATTCCCGCCCCGTGACGTCACCGGCCGCCTCCCAGGACAAGTAACCGGGAGCAGGCCGGGCTGGAACAGCCTAATCCTGGATTACTTGAACCGGGCCGCGGCCGCTGCTCCCCTCCCCCCCCCCCCCCCCGGTGACACCGCCCCCCCCCCCTCCCCCGTGTCCTCACGTGACCCCCGGTACCTGCCGCCTCGCGCCGCTGCCGGAGCCACCGGTACCACGGCGGTTTCCAGCCCCCCCCCAGAACCCGAACGGCGCTTCCTGATTGGGTACTGCGAGGGGGGCCTGGAAACAGCCGCCAGGCGCTGATTGGAGGAGGCGGAGGCGCTGCGCTGAGATTGGCTGAGGTGCGCGCGGGGGGCTGGGCCCGGTGGTGTTTACCGCGGAAAACATCCCGGGAAGGGGCGGGGCGAGACTCGGAGCCGCGCCCACGCGTTCTCAATCCCCATTGGCTGGGCCCTGCGAGACGCAGGGGAGGGGCGGGGTCTTAAGAGAATGGGCAGGGCCATGAATGGGACGGGGCCAGGAGCGGACACAGGGATGCATGGATATATGGATACAGGGATATACGGATATATGGATACAAGGATAAATGGATACAGGGATACATGGATACAGGGATACATTAATACAGGGATATATGGATACATAGACACAGGGATACATGGATACAGGGATGCATGGATACAGGGATATATGGATACATAGACACAGGGATACTGGGATGCATGGATACATAGACACAGGGATACATGGATAAAGGGATACATGGATACAGGGATATATGGATACATAGACACAGGGATACATGGATACAGGGATGCATGGATACAGGGATATATGGATACATAGACACAGGGATACTGGGATGCATGGATACATAGACACAGGGATACATGGATAAAGGGATACATGGATACAGGGATATATGGATACATAGACACAGGGATACAGGGATGCATGGATACAGAGATACACAGATAGGTGGACACAGGGATACGTGGATACAGGGATATATGGATACAGGGATATACAGATACATGGACATAGGGATAAATGGATACAGGGATACATAGATATAGGGATGCATGGATACAGGGATAAATGGATACAGGGATACATGGATACAGGGATATATGGATACATAGACACAGGGATACATGGATACAGGGATATATGGATACATAGACACAGGGATACATGGATACAGGGATACATGGATACAGGGATATATGGATACATAGACACAGGGATACATGGATACAGGGATATATGGATACATACACACAGGGATACATGGATACATAGACACAGGGATACATGGATACAGGGATATAGGGATACATGGATACACAGATACATGGACACAGGGATACATAGATAAATGGACACAGGGATACATGGATACAGGAATACATGGACACAGCTCCCACCAAAACTCAATCGCATGGGCTGAATACCCCAGTGGATCTGAGCCTGAACCCTGGCTCTTCCGAGTCCCCGTGGGTTGCTCAGGTGCATGGGTCCTGGGTTCACTCACCTGAAATCCCAGAGCTCTGCTCCCGAGCAGGGAAAAACCAGGAATAGAATGAATCCCTCTGGGAAAAGTGGCTGGAATGTCAGGTTTATTTTTAAAAAAGCTGAAGAGAAAAGGTTAAAAGGGATCTTTGCCCGGGAATGCCGCAGTCAGTGCATTGGATAAATGCCAAGCAAAAAGAACCAGGAAGTTTTCCTTGGGAAAAAGGCTGAATTAAACCAGATTTAATAAAGGAGAAGCAGGATATGGCCACGATGGAGTCCAATCAATCAGGCTGGAATCAAGGGGGTTGGGAATTGGCTCCAGAGGTTCCCTGAGATGACAGAAAAGCAGCTCCACACGTTCAGCCCCTGCCTGCGGAATGCCAGAGCCTGCCGGGAAAATGGGGCTCAATGGAATCCTCCAAACAGCAGCTTCGATGCTGCCTGCGCCGGGCGCATCCGGCTCCAACTCAGCTCTGGGCTGGGAATAACCCATGGGAAGGAGGAGCTGCTGGGAAGAAGCATCTCCATGAGGAAGAGACTGCTGGAGGGGCCCAGACCTGGAGTCACCGCCGCTCCTCCTAAGCTGGTCTCTGAAACCATCATGAATGGAGCTCTGCTCCGATGGGTTTCCCAAACCTGGAATTTTCCTCAAATTAGGAAAAAAGATTTGGATTAGCATCCACGGGAGAGACACGTGAATCGGAACTGGAATAGCGGTGGTGAATCCTTTCGCAGAGCAACTATCGGGAACTAAACGGGAGCAACTGGAGGAACCCGGAAGCAAACCCCAAGGTTGGGGTTGGAGCCGGGTTGGTGGCTCCGGCTCTGAGCAATTCCCAGCGCTCCCAGGACCATCCGGTCCCATTGTCCGACCCCCGGCTGCACTCAGGGTCCCGGCGTGAGCCCGGCTCGGTGCTGAGCCTGAGCCAGGGCGGGTTTCCACTGACACCGGTTCTGTCCTCAGGGATCAGGAATCATCTGGCGACGAGCGTGTCCGTGTCCACGTTGCTGAGCAGGAAGAGCTCAGGGCAGGCAGCGAGGCCCAGGTGGTGCTGGAAGAGGTGAAGGGCGAGAGTTAGAGCTGAGCCGAGCTCCCCCATCCCAGCCTCGTGGCGCATCCCCACCTGCCGGGCCTGGAGCTTTGAGCTTTCCATCCTTCGGGAATCAAAGCAAAGCAGCGTTAAAGCCCCCAAGCCATGGAACGTCGCAACGGGGAAGCGGCACCGCGGTCACTGCCACCTGCAGCACCACACCGCGCCCTCCCGTCCTTCACTGCGGGTAATGGAGACCTGGATGGGATCTGCCCATGGAATAGCATCCGCTTCCATAGAGCTCCAAGAAACCAGCCTGCCCCATCCCTGGCGGTGTTCAAGACACAGGGGCTTGGAGCAAGCTGCTCCAGTGGAAGGGGTCCCTGGAGCTGGATTGGAGCTGGAGGAGCTTTAAGGTCCCTCCCAACCCAAACCATTCCATGATTCCATGGATGCCATTGGGACTGGCCCAGCTCATGGTGGCTCCATCCTTCACCCTCTTGCTGGAGGCCACGGTCACAACGGACCTGGGAGCCCAGAGCGAGCACAGCCGAGGCCTGAGGGTTGGATCCTGCAGGGATCCCAATGGATCTGCTCCATCCAGTGGGCTCTGTGGGCTCTGGAGCCGCTGGGGTCTCCTCCACAGCCAGGAATCGCCACCGGTTCCAAGCAACCCCCCAAGAAACGACCCAAGGAGCCGAGTGGAACAAGATCCATCCTTTAATGGCACCATGGGGCTCCACAAACTGCTTCCGAGGAGACACGGGGGGAGCAAAACCAACCTGAGCCTTAGGAGGAGCAGGAGGTGGGAATGAGGAGGCTCCGCAGTGGAGCTGCCACCTACAAGTTAGTACCAACCCCTGTCAATCCCAGCTCCAGGAAAAGCAGAAGGATGGAATGCCGCTGGCAAAGGGTAGGAACATCCTGAAAGCCCCTGCCTGTGATCAAACCCCACGTTTTAATGCCAGGAGCAATTCCCTGCCTGGGACCAGAGCAAGGCTGAGGAAGGGGATGGAATTCGTCATTAAATCCATGAGAGGGAAGCTTGGTTAAGGGCTGGAGCTCACCGTGCATGGGGCAGCCCTGGGAAACTCCATAGGGAACCTCCTGGAGCTCAACCAGGCCAAGGGCAAGCTCCTGCCCCTGGTCCAGCGCAATCCCAGCACAGCCCCAGGCTGGGGGGGCCTGGATGGAGCAGCCCTGAGGAGAGGGACTTGGGGTCCCCATGAGCTGGCTTCAGGGAGTGCTTGAGCCCAGAACCCCCCCCAGTGTGGGGCTGCATCCCCAGAACGGGAGCAGCAGCTCCGGGAGGGGATCCTGCCCCTCTGCTGCGGGAAGGGGGGACCTGAGAGCAGCTCCAGGGCCTGAAGGGGCTGCAGGGAACCTGGAGAGGGGCTTGGGACAAGGGATGGAGGGACAGGGACAGGCCAAGGGGAATGGCTTGAACCTGCCCGAGGGGAGACTGAGCTGAGCTCTGGGGCAGAAGCTCTTCCCCGTGAGGGTGCTGAGGCGCTGGCACAGGGTGCCCAGAGAAGCTGTGGCTGCCCCATCCCTGGCAGTGTTCAGGGCGAGCTCTGGATGAACTTTAAGGTCCTTTCTCCAACCCAACCCCTTCCATGGTTCTGTGAATCCAGGAATCACCCTGGGCTCTTTTCCCTGTCCTGGGGGATGCAGGAGCAGGCGCTGTTTGTGCCACACCAAACCTCCCCTTCCTGGTGTTTTCAGGTCCACAGAAGCACGTTGGGACCTAAACCACCTTCGTGGAGCTGAGCATGTTCCATGCCCAGCCACGGCTCTCACGTGCTCAGAGATAGGGGAACAGACCCTGGACACCCAATCCTCACGGTCGAGACACCTAAAAGCACCCTGGGACAGGGGACGTAACCCCAAAATCCATTCTCTGCTGGAGAAACCACAGGGGGACTTCTCCAATCACGGAAGCAAAGCAAACCCCACTCTGTCCTAATTGAGAACAGCAGACTTTGGATGTCCTCCATGTGAAGGCTTCTCCATGGAAGGCCCTGGAAGTCATTC